TTGGATTAGTGCAGTATCTTTTTTGTCTAGCATTGGTTCAAAAGCCTTTTTAACTGCCAGATTGACTGCATCAACAATTATAAGTTGAAGCTCCTCCCAGGACAACTACAGCAGGTTGGTTTCTGCGGAGCTGTCTAAGCATCCATCATCTGGCATTTTTTTCTGTGTGACCTGATCACCCATTTTAATGTGATAGCAAAAGTCCCAGTTCTGCCCAGCAAAACCCAAGTCTCTGCAAATTATTTGTCAATATTCTCTTCAGAGCTGACTGCATTTACCAGATAGAAGCTCTCATAGAGATATTAGCAACCGAGAATCCTTCAACACAAGTCGTGTTTTGCAGCTCTACAATAGACTCTAGACATAATAAACTCCTCCGTTCTCAGCAATGAAACATGACGTCATAAAAAGTTGCCACAAAGTAACGAATTCCCCCCCCTCTTTCCAAAGAAAACTTTATAATCCTTTTGTAGGGGCTCAAACAACAGTCCCTCTTTGCCCCAAGAAGTGTTTAGCTCAGCTTTCTTTTCGTAATCATCCCAGCTGCTCTGCGGAGGAAGGAGGGGGGGAAGTTCCACCCTTCTTTTCCTTGTCCTTTTAATACTTTAAAGGGGCTTAACCAAAAGATCGTCGGTTTCTCCAATGTTGCTTTTACAGGTACTTACAGTGTATATCTTTATCAGTGTTATGGATGAGGCTCAAATAACTCTTTTCTTATGGAGCGCTCACATCTGGTGCAGCTATGGCTGCCATGACTGCGTTGCTTCATTCCTTGCTTCTGGGACGATCCAGTGCTTCCACCCGCTTGCTGCCACTTGCGGGGGGCCCAAATCAAGTCCCTTGCACCAGTGGAGTTCGGGATCCCCCAAAAACTCCCCTAAAAAGAACAAAGAGCCAGTGGTACCTGGGAGTGATTCCTGGTGCCGACCGTGTCAATGCACTGCAGCCCCACCCTCTCAATTTTTTCTTAGTATCTCTATATTAAACCACGGTCGTCCAGTGATTAGAAATTGGATTTGAATCTGTGAAATTGGTATTTAAGGACCAAAACATACATGATAGAGATTTGCCTGTCTATTAAAGTGCACACACGAGTTGTCTCAATCCAGTTTGTGGCTATACAGCCTGTGCAGCACTCTGGATATGATAAAGGACTCTATGAAAGCAAAATAGTGGCAGTAATGTATCAAGATCTCAAAACAGCACACCCTTACTTGATTATGTGAATGTTCCAGAGAGCTTCATTACCAGTCTTTAAAACATTCACAGCCTACCACAACCCAATGTGGCAGAACCAATTCCTTCCCCTTTTTCTGCCCCAGGGCCCTCTCATACACCATCCCAGTGCCAAGGTTCAAATACTGAGCAGTAGGATTACCATGCTCCAGGTGGGTCTGGAGTTCTGCCCAGAATTATAACTGATCTCCAGGCTACCGAGTTCAGTTTCCCTGGAAGAAATGGCAGCTTCAGCAGGTAAACTATGTGGAATCATATCCCTGCAGAGCTCCATCGCCTAATCAAACTCCACCTTCCATCAGCTCCGCCCCCAAATCTCCAGGAATTTCCCTATGAGAGTGGCGTATTCTATAGTATTCACAGGATTATGCTTTCTTAGATATGCACACTGGGGACATCCAGATCTCAAAAGCTACCTAAGCGGTCTTTCTCCCATGGCAATTCTAGCCTGGAAGAAGTAAGCTTGGATTCTGGAGGCGTGACACAAATCATCTGATGGGCTAACATCATTTTTCTGCATTCTAGATTAAGATACAAGCAAACTTCACACGTAGGGGGCCAGGCGATCTCCCAGAATTACGGCTAATCTCTAGACTGCAGCTCAGTTCTCCTGGAGAAAATGGCTGCTGTGGAGGATGGACTGTGTCTGTGTGCTATAAGTGCTGTCAAGATGCTTCCAGCTTATGGCCACTCTCTGAATTAATACCCTCTAAAGCATCGTATTGTTAACAGCCTTGCATAGATCTTGCAGACGGAGAGCTGTGGCTTCCTTCACTGAATCATGATCATCATAAACTTTATTGTGTTTGCTCACAGTTAGCAATGAACACCAAAATACCAACAGCATCAGAGTTATAATGCAGAGTTATAATGCAATAACCTTTCTTGAATCAATCCTTTTCATGGTGGGTCTTCCTCCTTTGATGCTGCCTTCAACTTTTCCTAGCATTACTGTCTTCCCCACTGACTCCTCTCTTCTCATCATGTGACCGAAGTACAATAGCCTCAATTTAGTCATTTTAGTTTCTAGGGAGAATTCAGGCTTGATTTGACCTAGAACATTGGTCTTTTTGGCAGTCAACAATATTTGTAAAACCCTCTTCCGACACCACATTTCAAAGGAACAAGCTTTCTTCCCGTCAACTTTTTTCATTGTCCAACTTTCACACCCATACATGGTAATGGGGAATTCTATGGTATGAATAATCTTGATCTTGGTTGCCAACAATACATCCTTATGCTTAAGGATTTTCTCTAGCTCCTTCATGGCTGCCCTTCCCAGTCTCAGCCTCCTTCTGATTTCTTGGGTGCAGTCCCCCTTTTGGTTGATGATGGAGCCAAGGAACGGAAAATCTTGAAGCATTTCAGTTTCTTCATCGTGAGCCTTAAAGTTGTATAATTCCCCAGTAGTCATTACTGTTGTTTTCTTGGTGTTCAGCTATAATACTGTTTTGGCACTTTCTGCTTTAACTGTCAGCAGTAGTCGTTTCAAGTCTTTATTTTCTGCCAATCATGTGGTATCATCTGCATATCTCAAACTGTTAATGTTCCTTCCACCAGTTTTCACTCCACCTTCATCTAAATCCAATCCAGCTTTCCTTAAGATATGTTCCACATATATAGACTGAAGAGACAAGGAGATAAAATGCATCCTTGTCTGACACCTTTGAGAAATGGAAACCATTCTGTTTCTTTGTATTCTGTCCTAACAGCAGCCTCTTGTCCAGTGTACCAGTTGCACATCAAAACAATCAGATGGACTACTATATGTCATTATACCCCACTGAGGTCCCTCCCCTTCCCAAACTCTGCAGGCTCTATCCCTGAATTTCCAGGAATTTCCTAACCCGGACTTGGCAACCCACCAACCCAGACTTCCCCTGTCTTCCAGCAGGTGCTCCTTTTGCTTCCGTCTGCTGAGAGAGGGGGGAGAAGACGAGGATCCACCTGATTTTTGTCTGCTGGGAGGTAGCCAGGAACAGGGATTCACGACTGCCGCAGCTAGCCCAACTGGAAAGGTGTGGGCCTGGCGGGGCTTGCTGTGTGGCCCCTCGGTTTCGGGCTCTGTGTGGCTTCATAAAGCAGCTGCAGGATTTGCAAGTGGCCAGCAGACAGACAGGCGTTTGTGCCAAATTGAAGCTACCGGGGAGGAGTCCCTTTTGGGGGGTACGATTTGCTGTTCCAAGAGGCAAGAAAGGTGAGAAAGAAGAGGGGGTGGGGGACAGCTGTCTTCCTTTGGAAAACCCGTGTGTATGTGTGTGTGTGTGTGTGTGTGTGTGTGTCTTTCTTTCTTGGCCAAGCTTTCATCATCCTGTTGATGAAGCTTTCTGAAATCCTTCTTCCTGTTTGATGAAGAATGGGAAAGTGAGTGATTGCTAAGAAAGGTGAGAAAGAAGAGGGGGTGGGGGGCAGCTGTCCTCCTTCGAAAAACCCGGGGGGTTGTCTTTCTTGGCCAAGCTTTCATCACCCTGTTGATGAAGCTTTCTGAAATCCTCCTTCCTGTTTGACGAAGAATGGGAAAGTGAGCGATTGCTTAACATTCAGACATTCTGAAATACTGGCTCAAGGTGAAACAGGGTTACCAGCCTCCAGGAGAGGCCTGGAGATCTCCTGGAATTACAACTTTTCCCCAGATGACAGAGATTCTCCGGAGAAAACAGCTGCTTTGGAGTGTGGAGTCTGTGACACTGTACCCCACTGAACTCCCTTCCCTCCCCAAACTCTGTCCCTCCCCAGACTCCACCTCCAAATCTCCAGGAATGTCCCAACCTGGAGCTGGCAGCCCTATGTGAAGAGAGAATAAGTGTGGTGTAGAACTTAGCATGCCCATCCAGGCCTGGGAAAAAAACTCATTCAAATCTCTACTCACCATGAAACTCAGTCTAGGGTTGCCAGGTCCCTCCTGGCCACCGGCAGGGGGTGGGGGGTTAAGGTTGCCTGATCCAGACTAGGAAATTCCTGGAGATTTGGGGGTGGAGCCTGGGGAGGACAGGGACCTAAGTGGGGTACAATGCCATAGAGTCCACCCTCCAAAGCATTCAGTTTCTATAGAGGAGCTGATATCTGCAGCCTGAAGAGTTCCAGGGGATTCCCAGACCCCACCTGGAGGCTGGCACCCCTATTCGGTGCCTGTGGACCAGTCATTCTCTCTCAGCCTCCTCTGCATCCCAGGGGTTGTGAGGATAAAGCCAAGGCAAGCAAAACTCTCAGCTCACTGGAGAAAGTGTAGGTTGAAAACACAATCAATAAACAAAAACACATAAACAATGCTGGGGGCCCTCAGTCATCAGGTTGTGCACCTAGGCTACAAGACTGCATCACAATATTTACTGCAGCCACTGCCTGCTCTGATTGGCCACTGAGTGCAGGCAGAAAATTGCTTCACTTGCAAAGCTAATTTTAGCCTCCTCTAAATAGCTCTCTCTTTATCTATAAAATCACAGCTATCAGTATTCTGCTAGCCTGCGCCGGAAGGGGAACCGATGGCGTTGACTGCCTGCCTGCATGGCAATGGTTAACTGAGCGTGTGAGATTGTGCTTACTTCGACAAAACCACTGCAGTGAGAGAAGGAGGAAACAATGAATGGGAGGAGACGAACAGCCTGCCAGAGAAGCGCCAGGCGTTCCGGCTAGTGCGGTCCGGGCTGTCAGGAGACTCTGAAGGCTGCAGCAGCCTCTGGAATCTGCATTCAAACTGAGCATCAGCCTTCCATCGAAGGGAAAATCTCTTCTGCACCAAAGGTCTGCTCTTCAGCACTTGAGACATGGCCAGCAACCAGGCTAGCATACAGGAGGATCAGAGCAGGCACTGCAAGTTCCTATCCTACATGTTCTACCAGGCTGTCAGAGATCACAAGCCTGTGTGGATGCTAGAAGACATGAGGACTATGGAGTATTTTTACTGGGAGGAAAATGCCAGCTTGAGGACTTACTCCCCTTCGGAAGCCCTGCTGTATGCAGTGGTGCACAATCACCTGCCTTATGCCCAGTATCTGCTGTCTCATTTTCCAGAGGAGGCTCTCAAAGTCCCAGGAGAAAATTTCTGCTGTTGCCCATCCTCTGCCCCTCACCTGGCCATGGCTGTAACATATGACAGGAGAGATATTTTGGGGCTGATCATCAGCATTGCACACAAACTGCCGAGTTTGAACTCCTACATCAACAGAACCGGCTGCTTTCACCTGGAAGATGGTAAGACCCCTCTGCATCTTGCCTGTGAGCTCCTGAGGTCCGAGACAGTCCTCACCCTTCTAGGGAATGGGGCCTCTCCCAGGATAGAGGACAGTAAAGGGCTCACCCCTCTGGATGTCATCCTGGAGCAGATGTGGGAGTCCAGAGTCAATGTAGCCTCCAAAAAACTCTGCCTTGATTACCTCTTACTATTCATGCCGAATCCCCGGTTCAAGATGCGTGAGTTCCTACAAGAACATGCAGAGCACTGGACTCTTCTGCTAGGGGAGGACAAGTTCAACAGCCTAGTGGGGAACATACCTGCATCCTTATACCTGCAAGCTATGCAAACTATTCTCCAAACTCTCCCCCCCTCCCATTTTCCTAAAAGCATCCAGGAACTCCCTATACCTCAGGCACTAAAGCCCTTGCCTTGTATGAGCAAACAGCATCCAACAAAAATATGGTAAATGGTTTTCCATAATCTTTTTTTTTTTAAATAAAGTCATATTTACAGGCTACAAACCAAAACCCAGAGTATTCCCATTTCTGCTAATAGAAATACTCTTGGGTAAGTCATACAAGGGCTTCTGCCTTAGGGGACTTGCTCCCCAACTACCACTGAATTTTCATGTGGGTACTTTCTTGTCTCTGCTGCCACTGAAAATCCCATTTGGTATGTGTGATGTTTTCACTATGTAAATATTTTGTCTGTGTTTTATTTATATGTTTTAATGTGGCGCTTTCTATGCATGTTGCTGTGAGTAACAATGCAGTCCTGTAGAGTAAGATATAGGGGGGCTGGAAGGGTGATTGAAGTGCGTTATGATTGGATAGTAGCTGTACCCTAGGGGGTGGAGTTGACTGATGAGTTCAGAGAGGCTTTGTATGAGGGACAGTTGGGGGTGCTGGTGAGGCAATTGAGGGAGGTGGTGTAGAGTGTGAGAGAAATCTGTATTCTGTGCCTAAGTTATGAGCCTAAGGGGCAAGAGAGAAAATAAGCCTCTGTGGGAGTAATCAGCCTAAGCTGCAAGTGAGGGAAATAAGCCTGTGTGGAAATTGTTAGCCTTTGTGGCTAGGTCTATTTAAGAAACTTTAGAGAAACAGGAAGAACTGTACATTTATCTGAAACCATTATGCTTATGTACCTATCTGAAACCGTTACGCTTATTATATAGAAACCATTATGCTGTCATACTTATAAATAAACTGTATTTGTTTTTGTTTTTTTAAAAAACCACTATTTTATTTAGAGTAAGGATCCCCTTTTACCTCAAACCCATCTCCAAGTGTTGACCATTCTGTCATTCTACCAGTTATAACTAAGCCATTGTATTCTTCAGGGCCAACTAAGAATTCTAAGGCAACAGTCTTTGGTGGCAGCAAAAACAAGTAGGAAATGCTAAGGGGAGGGAGGGCTGGAAATTTAATAAATAAATAAGGAAGGCAAAGAGGCAGCACCTCAGAACACTGCAGAAAGAAGCCTTTATAAAGGTTATACATATAAATGGTCACACAGAGAAGAGTCCAAATGTTACAGTATGTAATTAAATATGATAGTAATATTTTTTTAATTACAAACACCCAAACTTTAAAAGGACCAACCCCCCCCTGTTGTGCATGTGAAAAATTCAATTTAACTGTTTCCCATTTACATTTTTCCCACTGAAATCTGTGCAGCAGAATTCTCTTGACATATGATCTACACTTTATATAAGTTATCCAGGTTCACAGGGCATTTCATGGATTGGGGCTCCAGTTCGGCACAGAGTTTGGCTCCTTCCCTCCCCAGTATGTCAGTGGGGTTTAAGCAGCTTCAGTGTGTCCAGCCTCTGTGTTCTACCAAAACACTGTGCTGCTTTAGAGGCATGGGATAGAGTGGAGCAAGGACTCTTAAGATTCCTCCGCAAGGATCTGATACACAATGAGAGAGCAATTGTGATCAAAAAGGCTATGGCCCTCGGCACTGTCACTGCAAGAGTGAGGGCTGCTTCTAGCTGAGTCGTCTTAATGAAAGGCTGGGAGTTAAAATAAAAACAAGCCGGACTGTTCCAGCTGGTGGGAGCGAAGGGGCTCAGTATCTACAGCCCTGCTTACTTTACTAAGTGGTCCATAGGAGGTGGGTGGAGGGCAGATTGATTTCCCTCATGCCGTGGAGAAGATTGCCAGCTATAGCAGAGATGCCCCTCCCCCCACTATTCATCCCCACTGCAGGTTTTCCTCTCATTTCTGCAAGGACCATATCAAGAAACATGCTGTCCGGCTTTCTCCTTCGCATTAGAGCTGTACAGCCTCAGCCATTTGCAGTGTACCGTCTGTGCAAGAAGGAATACTGTACAGCAGTGGCAACTTGGAGCATACTTGTGCTGCCTGCTTTAGGGGGTTAGGCCTATTTGGTTACTGAACAAACAAATCATCTCCAACCAAAGGGTGTAGCAAACTCATCCCCCGAGCTCAGTATAAAGTGTTACTACTTTTGTTCCTATTCCAGCGTGTCCCATTACTACTACTGTTATTATACCAGTGTGACCCGGCTCCCCCCTCCATGCTGTAAGCAATGGCCCATCTGCAGCCCAACCCGCTTTAGCACCCTTAGGTAGTTATTGCAGGTGCAAGCAAATGGATCCATGTAGTATGGCATTACCTCTGTTTCCTATGTATCTACCAGCACAATTTGCTCTTCTGATTTGGACAATATGCCATTTTGATCTGATGCTCAGGGAAAAGTGTCACCGGTAGCAAACAGGTTCTTCATTTACTTTCTAGGAGGGGCAGTTTCTGACTCAAAGAGGAGCTCTCCGCAGCAGTCCTGCAGCCAGCAGAGAAGTTGTGCCAGCTATTATTGTCTATTATAATAAAGGCTCTTGCTCGTAGCTACTTTCCAGCATCACAGATGTAAGCCCTTCCTCCTTTGCTTTATGTCTTACTGATTCCACATGCTCACCTGCCGTCTCTAAGATCACAGGATTCCTCTTGGCCTTTTTCTTTTGTAAAAGGTAGCATTGAGGAAGACCCTCTCCATCAGCCCAGAGGGAGGCACCTGTACCACTGCAATACAGGGACACAAGCATTTGCCTTTCCTGAGCTTTTCCTGGGCAGCTACTGAAGGCACTAGGGTATACTTCAGCAGTAGAGGACGGTAGTCCTCTTGTTTCCCCGTTATAAGGGTGCATCCCATCCTAGCTAAGTTTTCATAGGATTCTCTTTAAAATGTCTCCCATCGAACCTGATTTTGATGGACTGTGGAAACTGCAGACAATTCTTATGCAGAATCCAGCGACCCATACATTAACAGCCACCCCTCATTTTTCTGAAATGTCCTCCCTGCTGAAGCAGGGCTGAAAGTGGAGGAGAGACTGGCTGAGCAAACAGCTAGAATGCCAGTCCATCACGACAAAATCCATGGCCATTTCCAGCCACAGCTTTGCAGCAAACCCTCAGTGCCAGACCAAGGCAAGGGACAAAGCAGCAGTGCGGCAGATCAACAGAACAGTAGGAGGGTTACTGGGACTGAATCTCAGCCTATGCCAGCAAACGAGACATTCGCTACTGGAATTTGAAGAAAAGGACTAGGTCCGCTATTCATTTCTTTCTCATTGAAGCGGCAACCTCTAATTTAGCTGTCAGCAAGGGAGAAATGGGAATGAGGGTGGAAATGTAAGGAGAATACTAATTAAGCTCCACTAACAATGGCTGAGGAACAAAACGGAGTCTTGCGGCACCTTCAAGAGTAGCAGATATATGGAGGTGTGAGTTTTGAACAGATGTGTATCAATAAGCCTGTAAATCTTTCAGGTGGTGCAAGACTTCGTTTGGGTTTTGCTGAGACAGACCAACACAGCTTTCCTGTTGAATTGTTATGGTGGAAGGCCTATAAGGCAATTTTAGAAAGGGGGGGGGGGCTTGTATTTTGGGGGTGGAAAGGGCCATCAAGTTGCAGCTGACTTATGGAGACTCCACAGAATTTTCAAGACAAGAGATGAACACAGGCGGTTTGCCATTGCCTGCCTCTGCACAGTGACCTTGGTATTCCTTGGGGGCCTCCCATGCAAGCAATGCTCCCTCTAAGCTGTGGAGTCTTGTGAGCAAAAATCCTACTTTGTGAGCTACTGACATTAAACTTGTGAGTGAGTGATTTGGCTACTGCATAAATTAGTTTGCTCTGGAGCCATCCTTCATGAGCTAAGACAAAAATGTGTGAGCCGGAGGCTAAAAAGCTGTGCTAGCTCACACTAACTCAGCTTAGAGGGAACACTGCATGCAAATACTAACCAGGGCCAACACTGCTTAACTACTGAGATCTGACGAGATTGGGCTGGCCTGGGCTATCCATATCCAGACAACTTCCATTTTAGATCCTGTACTCCCAAACTGATAGAACATCAGCAAATAATTTTTTTAAAAAAAGTTTGTACAGAATGAAACTTGACTAATGCAGATTGGAATTGCTTCTGGGTAGGCCTAGAAAATAATTTGTGAGGGAGAGTAATAAGCAGTGACTGTGCCTTTCAGGTGCTTTATAATCAGCCTGTAACATCTGCAGTCAATACTGGGGAGGGAACACAAATAGCCCTTTATGTTTGATCACACATACCAGGAGAGCATATTACATGCAATCCACCCAGCATGTTGTCTGAATGAGGCAACACACACATTTTCAGCCTCAGTACATGTGCACCGGAACCCGGATCTTTCACTCCTACTCCCAGTATATGTGGTTCCTGCAGACCCGATACCTGTGACCATAACTACTGAAAAAGGCTTATGTCAGTGTGCATACACTTTTCTAGAGTGACCAGAACAAAATGCCTCAATAAAAGAGTATTTTGACATTGAGATATTCTGAAAAAGGAACATTCATGAGAATATGGTGACATAAAATGAGAGGGAACCCTTTAAAGAGGGGAGTCTCTGGTGATCCTGTTGTCTCCTGGGAATCCAAAGGAACTGCTGGCTAGCTCCTAGGTGAGAAAGATTCCCCAGGCCCTGGTTGGGATGGTCTCCAGGGTTTATGCAGATCCTGCTACGTAGTACGGCCATTAACCATGCAATCCCATGCAGAGTTACTTCAGTCTAATGCACAGGATTGTGCTGTCATCCGTTTTAGGGGCTACTACCTGGTTGGGTCTTCTGAGGAGTTGCCAGTTGGGTTGCTCACTGACCTGAAAATAGATGCTCTAGACTGTTCTTGTGCCTTTAATGGCAGCTTGCTGTGCAGAAAATAGCAAGTGAAGCTTTCATAGTACGGGGACAAAAGTGTCACCGTTATCACTAATGTATGCATACCAAAAGCTGCTGCTAAATACCCAACTGCTGCAGCAGTCTGAGAAGCTGGCACCCCCACTTGCCCACCCGTTGGCTTTGAAATGCAGTATTAGATGAAGTGAAGCTTTCATAGTACGGGGACAAAAGTGTCACCGTTATCACTGATGTCTGCACACCAAAAGCTGCTGCTAAATACCCAACTGCT